TAATTCCATTGAACCTCTCTGGAATTATAGGGCAAAAAAAAATTTCAAAATTCAAAGTTTCAGGCGTGGGCGAACTGAATTTAAAAAAATTCTGGAGTACGAGAAACGTTGAAGAACTTGCCTCACAATTGGTTGATCTATTCAAAGCCGATGTAATGCAGTTATTTGCAGCAGTATAAGCCGAACACATCATTGACACATACATCACACAATTTTGGATGTTTAATTCAAAGTATATGTGCCGATATTAAATAAAAGCTAATTCTGCCTGAATAATTTTGCTCTCTTTTTTTCTGACTTTTTTCACTGATAATTTGATGCTGCAGAAATTTGAACGTTTTTTCAAAATTGGCTTAATACAATTGAAAGACTACTAAATGGTGTACAGATTGCAAAAAATTTCAAATCAATACCTTCGCGATTCACTCAGTGATTGGCATTTGAATTTTGAGGTTGGTCTTACCCGAATAATATTGCTCCCTAGTGTATGATTAATGTGTGTTACGCAAGTGTGGAAAATAGGTAAGTGCGATTAATTATCCCAAATCCGGGATCAGTGCCTATCTTCACATATTTCGTGGGGTATATAAAGAAATTGAAAAAGCCAAATGCACATCATACTAAAATTCTACATATTCCGAACTCACTTTGTACCTGTTTCCGTAAAGAAACCATGAACAAGGTCATTTTCTCCGTGTTGGTCGCAGTTTGCGCTATCACTGTTCTGGAAATTGCCACTGCTGTAAGAAATTTATACTTGATAAATTAATCAGGAAATTATGAAATTAATATTTATTACCCTTTTGCAAAGTATATCCACCTTGAATTTTTCTGAGAGAAACGATACGAAATCCAGAATAACGTAATTTGTTGAAGAATAAAGTTTACTGTGGATTTAGCATGGTTCACCTACCTAATTTATAATTTTAATCTCATTTTCTATTCAATCAGGCATTAGTAGATATATGTAAGATTTAAAATTTGGTTAGATACAAATTTACATGTATAAATGTATCGCAGCGGTCGCATGAAAAAGATGAGCGTCATCACCGCGGAAACTGCTCCACTAATGGGAATAACTTCAAGGTGAACGTAAAGTGTGGACAGACTTGTTGGAAGGCCAGTAACGGGACGCAGTTCGGTGGATGCAAGAATGGTAACTGCACTTGCTACGATAGAGCCTCGTCAAACAGCATTACCAACACGACTACTGGGAGACGATCCCTTGACCTCTTCCAACTCCCAACGTTCGAAACTGCTGAGGACTAGGCTGAGATGAGATTTCGAATACCGAATATATATCGAATTTAATAATAGAAATCCAAATTTATCTATTTTAATCAAACCTTTATTTGTGCATCTTTTCTTCTATACAAATCAATTAAATTTCCATCCTTGCAGCTACTACAACAATAAACGTGTTACTGATCTGAATCGCCATAATGGATAATTTGAATATATTTATGATTGTTCTTGGTTGTTTACATACTGCATACATAAGTTACACTCAAGGGGGACTAAATTCAATTTAGTTCTAAAACCGATCGTAGTTGCATATTTGATTAATTTATGAGCGAGAAAAATAATTCGGCAATTCATCCAGCCTTTGCTAACGTTAAAAATTCCGAGAGTTTAGGAAAACAATTGTATAACATTATATTAAACCCAAAGACAGACCAGAGCTGAAGAAGTAAAAAAAATGCAACACAATTTGATAAACAGTTTGCTTTGTAGGTACACAGAAGTTCGACTAGGTGATTTCAATATCCTTATCCAACCTTGATCATTTTTAGTTCAGACATAGAAATAAATGATCCCATAAATCCAGCCAGCAAACAATCCGGTACATACTTTCATACCATATTCAATCCACTCAATCAAATACACAATCATGCAAATGATACAAGACAATGCCCAAATCTTATGAAGCGCTTCAAATTTTTCGAAAAAATCTCGTCGTTCTAATTTATCAAAATCAGGACCTGTCCAATTTGCATAATACGGGTATAGCTTTCCTTTCTTATTTTTCCTAAACCAAGCCTCCCACCAGTTATAAATCCCCGAACTTATGAAAACCTTCAATCTATCCAAGACATAATTCTTTCTCTAATAGGGGTCAATCTGAATGCCAAAGTAGGTTAAAAGAAACTCATCATCCGACCCTTTCATGAATACTATGCCGTCTCTGTTATCATTCAGATAGTCCAGAATTTCAGGAATGTGTTCAGTTGCGTCCATGTAGACCAGTTTGTCGTGACATTTTGAAATGTTCGGGTACAGATGGAGTGGCCATTTATGATGCAATGCTTGCCAAATCCGTGGGGTGATCCCAGTCTGGTTCCCTGTCAAGTCTCGCCTTCCTACATTTACATCCCCATTTACTAGTGCTTGGGCCACTCTTTTGTATCCGTTCAGCCGTGTCAGGTTTCCCTCGTAGGCGGTAGCCGTTTGCAAGTCAGCTGCGAACCGCCATGCTAATAACGAGGGCGGCGTTCCGTTAGCGTACATGTCCTCATAAATTTGCACTTTGTAGTCCGCCGCAAAGAAGAATTTGAATCCTAATTTATCCAGGTCGTAGATGTAATTCCAAGTTGGAGTCCGCACGAATGGATGGACTACGTCAGAGGTAAAAATTTCCTTGTAGAATGCCGTAATTACGAGAGAGCAAAGGATCCAGAGCCACATTATGGGCCATAATCGGGACGGAATTACCCTTTTGATCCGTTCAATGCAGGACACCTCGAGAAGGGTGGCACAAACCAGGATTGCTACGTCCAAGTCGAGGATCATCCACTTGAACGGTCGCTTAGGGTTAGCTTTCACCAGAGAACATAGCAGCTGGAAAAGTGTTGGTAATTAATTCTTTTGAGACTCATTATTCATTGACTGATTATTCAAGACTGAGTTGAGGTAAAATGTTACAATTACTTTATTACGAATTTAGTCAAGCAAAAAATTACTTTCTTAAATTGTTCATACAGTTAGTAATTATGTCTTTACTTTATTACCACGAAACATACCTGCAAAGCTATGGCGACACACGAAATGCAAATCCAAGTAGATTTATCAAGCGGGGTGGAGAAGACGGCGTAGGTCGATTGCTGAATGCCGTAGCATGACAAGAAACTACAGGTATGTCTCCCAAGCCAAAATATCTGATGGTTTCCATAGTTAAAGCGCAATCTCCCCTTTCCGAAATATTTGTATCTATATCGGTAATTTATATCTCGTGTGATACTCAGATTATAAAACGTGTCAGACAAAATTTTATAAGAAATAAAATCCTGAAGCGATTGGGAGGCGTTGGCAACTTCAAACCAGGCGGGATTTTTTTCCCGCCGAAAATATTTCTCATGCATTCTAAGAAATTCTGGGGCAAACTCATACCCATCCAGTGTTATGTCGATCCATTCCATGTAAGTCCAGTGGTATTTGCTTAATTCAAGGGAACAAAAATCTGCCACGGATCGAATTTCGGTGAACGTTTCGGAAGGTGAGTCATGATTACAAGGAATTGCGGTATACCGCCTAAAATCAAGGTCAGAGGTAGGATAATCAGCTCCATGGTATCGGTTAAGATGATAGATTTTGTCACGTCGGTAGATTAGAAATTCCCGGGTTCCCATGACATTGAGATCGATGTGAAATAACATTCTTTTAATTTTCCTTATTTCCTGTTTTCCCTCCTGCCCAAATTGTGACACAATCCAGACGAAATATACTCGGGTCACGGACCCAAAATAACGCGGAAAGAGTGGGGAATATAGGAAATGTTGGTCACGTAGACGATAGCCAATTTCAGGAAAAATGTACGCCCAGCAAAATTCGGGATTTTGTTGCCGCATTACAAAAGAAATTTGAGTGAAGAGAAAATCGTAATCGGGTGGTCGTTCCGAAGTTTCGTTGGTTATAGCTGGAATGGGAGGATCATAAATTAAAACGGGTTGGGATGGAGTAAGAGGATATTCTTTAAATGGTTTTACGACGATGGTAACGCACAAACCAAATATTTCAGCTACGTCCTGTAGCGAGTTTGAAACAATATCTGAGTGGACAATTTCGAAGAAGAAGGAAATAAAAAATACAAACGTGAAATGTTTTACTGACATTTTTCCCTTATGCAATTTGAGTTACTCAGACGATGGTCAGAAGGACATTGTTTCACATTAGGAGAATCTAAACGTATGTGCACGAGAACAATGTACCTCTTGTATTACTTTTAGCTGCTAAAATGAAGCCGGTACCACTTGAATTTACGGCATGTTTACTTAAAGCTTAAATGTAGTCTCAATTTTATGTATGTTAAGTACAATATGCAAATTCTGGGTAAAGTTTTCAGTTGCTGTTCAAAAAGACTATATTCTTAAGAGTTAGTGCTCATACAGAAAACACAAGCTTCAACACACAATGAGGCTAGTGTCTAAACGAATTTGAAGGTCCATTTCTACGTTCAGTGCACTACAGAGCGTTGTTTTCTATCCGTTGTTCAATCTTACTGGGACATTTACGATATGGCGGGATCTCTGAGATAAGTTTATTTGCTTTCCGGAACCTCATGCTTTTCTACTGTCGAGAAACGTCTCAAGATATTGGACTAGTAAAATTGAAAGAAGGATTGTTATAAATACTTTAAGTGTTAGGATTGTCAATATGCAGTTTGGACTTTAATATTTAAACGTAGTTTTAATATTTATATGTAAATAGGTGCCAAGCCGACGATACCAGAGAACTAACTTATGATAAAATATTTCTTTTGTATTTAGACTAAATATTATTTATATTACAAATGCAACTCAACTTTAAGTGGTGGTTCTAGTGCCACTGGAAACCGTTTTACTGAATAAATTAACGTTCAAAATGCATAGAAAACCAGTTTTGGCCACCTGTAGGGCCTCCCTCACCCCCCATCCCAACGGATTGAAGGGGGTGACTCTCATTGATGCTGGGGTCGAAACCCTCCCCTCACGAAGGATGAGTCCATTACTTCTTAAATTCAAATGTATGCTTTTGAAATTATTTAATTTTATTAGCTAGCGCTCTTCTAATTAATAGATAAATCTATGTATATTAACGATTCTTTCGATAATTTGATTGCACCGAGTTTTACAATGAATTTATTGAATTTATTAATTTGATGATTAGTTGATGGAGATATCGGCACAGTTCCGGAAGGTCTGGGCAGCCTCTCGGGTAAAGCAGGAGTCCCAATCTGAAAATTTATAGATTAGATTATTTGCAATTTAATTTTTCCACTTATGCAAGTTTGCTCTCTTCCTAAGTAAATAAGAAAAATCGGTTGCAACATACCAGCCGGACCGGGATACGATGTTCGATAAGTCCAACGTAGCGTGCACCGGCTGCACGTTACCCCAGCCGGAAGTTGGACTCGGGCCGTCACATCGGTGTTGACGTTATCGTATGGGACGCAAATTCGGTCATCAGTTCGAACAGCTTCTGACCCTCCAACGATGGGCAGCTTGGTAAAGCAATTGTCAGTTTCCTGCTGATTTGGGCAAAGTTCTACTTCAAACGAGCCGTGGTGGGGAGCTTGGAAGTTCCCAACGACATCAATAATCTAAGAGAAATTCAAATATTTAAATTTAGCGGCTTTCTGTTTTACTTTTATTTAAATGTACGAACCTAATTATTAAAGATTTTGTAGCTAAACGAGAACATTAAAGAATAATTTGACAAGCTATAAATGTGGATTGCATATCTACGTACATCTTATATACGTTTTTGAGAAGGTAATCAATACATTCGTGCCTGTTTGTGTAATAATTTTCCACAAAATTTAAATTTTCTAAAACTAAAATTTCTTGCCATACTCAAGGCCTCGTATAATTCACTTGTATGTAATATGTATGTTAGCACGTGTGCGCAATTTTCTATCTTATTACTTTCACATAATCCCCTTTGAAATCCCCCTAATATTCCTTTAATAACCCCCCTAAAATTTTGGCTTAAATACGCGCCTTAAAATACCCCTTATCCCTGCCTTACCGATCCAGCCGTATAATTCCTAACAATGACGCCCTTATCATAAATTCCCCCCTGGTTAGCAGTGGTCTCTCCAAGCACGTCGCCACACCGCCCACAAGTGGAATACGTAAGGTCCTGGGGCACATTGCCGCACCAGACGCCGGAATTGTCCCACCAGTAGGGTTGGTCCGTCCCAAATTCGGGCCGGGTTTGGATCGACGTTCGTGCCACGGGGTCCTTCAAATACCCGTGTGATTGCACCTGCGCAACCGCAACGAACAGCGCAAGAATCGCAATAGAATGCATTTTAAGCAAAGTATTTAATTAGTTTCTCGTCTCAAGGGGAAAATTGATGTGTGTGCCTAGTACGAGACTTGGCTCGCTTTTTATTCGGATTTTCAAGTGCTTATCAACGCTATTGTTAAGGGTAAATTAATTATAACTGTAGGCATTTTCTTGTCAATCACCTATTTTTGCACACCACACTCGCATGTATGGAAACAAGTCCATTGTTAAGGTAGCACTGGACATAGGTAGTGATGGTCATGCCTGATAAGATGAACATGACACGCACGTGTACTTGTGTCATGGCATGATATACTCTTAACAAACTGGTACATATTAAATTATTACAAGCCGGAGCACATATACATACCTATGAATATGGTACATACATAGTCGGAAACACTCAAGTGTCAATGACATATAGCTTTATTACTTTTGTAAATCTCAACTTAGCAATTTTTGATTTATTTTACCGAAAAGCCAGATAAATTTCAATTCAAAGACAATTTTTAGTCTTAAAAATTTCCTGCTCCTGCGTGAATGCCACGCTAAAGACGAGACGACCACTCCTCGATGGAATTACGCACCGATTCCAGGGACATTTTGTGGCATTCCGGGGTCAGAAATTTTTTCCAAGCCTCCGCACTTCTACGGGGCTTAGAACACACCTTTGTCCCTAACTTTGACCATTTTTCATATTCCGGTGGTTCAAATCCATCAAGGATGATGACCAATTCTGATTGGAGATAAAGACCGGAATTTGTTTTTTTAGCTACGCTTGGGTCATTTTTTGCACTATAAGTTCGTGCTGAGTCCTGCTGAAAGGTCCCATCGATTCCATTGAATTGGATCTAACTTAGGGGATGTACCACGGACTCAAAAACATATTTTAAGAAATTTGATTCCCCCACCTCCCCCCAATTTTCAGCAAAATGTAGAGAAATTACCCCAATTAGCTCCCACCTGCCAAAATCATCAAAAAACCTGGATAATGTGACTTTCTGACCTTTTATCTATATTGGGGGATGTCTCTGACCGATTTTGCGTAGATTAGGACAATTCGCTTGTTAAAAGATTTTTCCGATGTTAAAATCTCCTCATTTTTAAAAAGAATCCTGCTCACTTTTCTGGAGCGTACCGCTTGAGGTGACTCCTGCATTTATTTAATCTGGTTTTCCTTTGGGGTACGATCAGGATGTGGCAAGTACCACATTTCAAAGCCTTAAGCCTAAGCTTCAATTTGAGCACTCATTGGATAATTTGCGTCGACACTGTCAGCAGTGAGCCCGGTTTCCGTTGGAATTTCGTGAATTTCTTCGGATTCCAGGCTTGAGAGGCTTCACGATGGGTGTGGTCCTTGGAGGTTTTCAAAAAATTCTTCGACTGTTCTTAGTCGATTCGGTCCCCATGAATGTTTTTATAGTCCGTTGGGCTAAATTAAAGTACACCTTTGACTTTTTCATCACATGTCAAATTCACTGTTTTTCTTCGATTTTTTTTTGTGTGAAAAACTATCGCCGCCCGCTTCTCTTCAATTTCCTGTATATTCATCCAGATGTTCAAAAATTACAAAGTCCATAGTGAATCATAATGTAAATCGCATGGCGAATCTAATGCACTTATCAGATTTTAATTCTGTGGCTTAGTTTTCTAGCAATCGGCTGTTGACACTTGAGTGTTCCCGACTATGTACATACAGTATCACACATCCTACTTGAACAAATAAAAAAAACTTACCCAGATGTGTGGAAAATTGTGCATATTTCAATATTTTTTTCTTGAAACATAGTTTTTATAAATGTTTGGCTGAAAAGATGAGATTAAAAATACCAAAATAATTGCTATCCGAGTCGACCATCTCATAACTCATGTTGCCAATAGAAGATATATAGTCACAAACGAAAATTCTTGCTAAATGATCCAGTACTCATTGTCCGTTGAGTTAAAATAAACCGTAGTAACGTTAGAAGTAGCTCCTCCTGTAATACTTCGGTGACAACATTGGTTGGTACCATAGATATAGAGTAGAGTAGATTCGGCTACTTTTGAAAAAAGCGTCTCGGCATGAAGGAGAATTTGGGGATAATTTTGGGATAACGCATGGTTGCACGGTTGCGCATGGAATGCTTAGCACGCTTGCACATCATTAAAAAATTATTATTTGACACCTGTTATTTTTATTTTTGCGTTTAAATCATACGAAATTGAATAATTTAAACGCCAAAATAAAAATAAGTCGTGTCAAATAATAAAATACGGAGTTTAACAAGCTTGGTTTGTAGACACAGGCAGGGTTTAGTCCCACCTCAAAAACATTGCCGAGTTTTTAACATTGACTATATGGAAGAAGCCTGATCTATTCTACTCTATATCTATGGTCGGTACATAAACTTCTGCACCATTGCAAAGGTGCAAAATAAATCGACAAAAATGCATGATTTTGATGGAATTTTACACCGGTGGTAGAAAATAAACGGACTAAATAGATGCATAATTTTCGTGGGGTTTTGCACCAATGGTGGAACATAAGCGGGGAAAATATACCCAGAAATTTGACATGATTTCGACTTTTTTAGACCCCTTTCGTGGGGATGTATTTCTGTGGGTTATGCTGCACTCTTAGTGCGTATTTAATCACTTCTCCCAATTGCTTGGCATCATTTTGTGTTATCGCTAGTTCGATACGAATGGTGCTATAAATTTCCTAAAAATTGGCCATGGGCCTATTTAATTAGCATCAATTGATGCAAAAAACTCATTAACGGACAGACAGACGGACAGGAGGAATTCAATAGCTCTCATGCTACGCAGGGCGAGCTAATAAAGGCTAGCTAAAGTCCTGATGTTATGACCTGGATTATGTATGGATTTGGACTACTGAAACAATATCTTCATCTCACAGCATTTATGTAAAAGTGTGTCTGGAAAATATTTCAAGAGGAGGTCAAGAATATTATCCGCATGCATATTTGGGAAAAGTAAATAACTCGTGGCTGTAGGGGTCTCGGAAACAGAGTAAACTAACGAAACAAATTCATCGACTCCGACTGCAGCTTCAAGTTCAATTTGTCTACTTGTTCAATTAGGATCTGTGATCCTCTGTATCACTCAAAATACCTACTTATCAGGCTGCAAATGTGTGAAGTGTTATCTGTCTGTCATGACTAATTTCTCAACATGTTATTCAAATTGATATAGTGTATGAGGTAGATTGGTGCAATCTGAATTACTGTCCTAATCCTTACTAAATTTTACTGTATATTTATAAATTAGTCAAGTGCAAGAAGAGAGCGTGAACGGGTGCAAAAGTGGATTCCTTTTATTAATGTTTATCCACACACGATGCAATGCGAACGTAACGTACTTATGTAAGTCCAAATACATACATACATACATAGCATGCGTGACGTGAATGTTCAAATCCTCTGACGTAGCGGATTCGTAATTGCTGTACACGCATCAGCCACATGGTCGTATGATTGCTACATATTTATGCTCACAATTTTCTTTAATGTTGAATGCATTTCTGTTCAAAAATTTAGTTTACATTCAGTCAAAAAGTCAATCATCCGTCAAAATTCAGTCATCCTTGTCTGAAGAATCTCCTTCACATTCAGTCCTTTTCTTTTAAATTTATTTCATTCACAATCAGTCATTTTATGTATTTCAAATTCATTTCATTTAACTTCAGGGGACTTCATTTTTTGCTTCTTTGTTCTTAGATTTGGTCTTGAAATCTCCTTAAACAAGTGGATAAAAGCGGAACCATCTATGTTAAAAATGTTTTCATTCGTAAATCAGTAATCCCAATTTCTGGCTGAAGATTTTCGTTCACATTCAGTCATTTTCTTTCAAGCTCATTTTATTTCAGTGATCCGACTTGATTTCTTACTTCGCTCTATGTATTAAGCATATTTACGTAGGTTGAAAAATGGAAGGAGTGAAAAGTTATTTCCATTCATATGACAAGAAATTAGCCTTCATCCATTATAATAATCAGTGCAATGAATAAAAGTTAACAGTTATGGGCCGATCAATGTCGCCGGTGGGCCGAAGCACTCCCAGGGTTGGCTTACAGATGATGGCCTCCCACCAATAGCTTCCGACAAATAGGCTCCTGGAGGAAATTAGCCTCCCTTACCAATGTCCCCCCAGCCAATCGCCTCCCACCCAAAATCCTCCCCTGATAAACGATTGCATTGTTTTTTAAATAGCTAACTAATATCTGGCTTTAACTAACATTGAATAACGAACAGCATACTCATCGTTAGTATTTCACAAAAGTGTCATTTAATTTGGTTCGTCCATTCATTTTTGCAGGTCAAAATAGCTTGACACTTACAATATGCTGACACTCCATATTTGTGGTTATTACTGTGCGAACATACACTCAAAATAACCTGGTGTCAATTCAGTGCGGTGTTGTCACATATAGATACCACGCGGTGTTAATACGGGCAATTAACACCGCGCGGTGTCTATATGTGACTTCACCGCGCTGGATTGACACCAGATTATTTTGAGTGTACGTAACATATCACCATAGAGCTAACAAATTTACTGGGTCTCATCGTACGGGAAATAAAGAAACCGACCGAGAATTTGACTAAACTTTGGTATTACGTACGAACCGTAATATCATCATCCAACGTTCATCATTTTTATACTGCCCTTATACACATTAGTCATACGAACAAAAAACTTGGAGATTTTACTCTCGTTTGCTTGCGTACAGGTAGAATGACGAATATTGAATGATGGTAACAAGTAACAACTACAAATAATTTGAAGAAGAGTTTTCAGACATGATTGACGAATAAATAGGTACATTTCTATGCTGATGAGTAATGCTCTCTCGCTATTTAAAAAACTATTTAAGAAACAATGCATTTATTTATCATGGGAGGATTTTGGGTAGGAGGCGATTGGCGATTGGTTGGGAGGCCATTGGTAAATAAGGCTAATTTCCTCAGGAGGCTATTCCTCCGAGGCCATTACTCGGAGGCGATTGGGGGGAGGCTATTGATTGGAGGATATTTCCGCAATTCCCCGGGGTTAAACCCAGTAGAGTACTTTACCTTTATAAATG